ATTATATTTTTAACTTTTCAAAATAATGAAATTATATATTTAAAATATGATTATAATTAAAAAATTATTTTGATTAGCTTTTTATAAATCAATATTTATATATTTATATTTTAAGAAAAAACATATTAGTAAAAAATTATTTTATTTTAATCTTAAACAAACTCAACATATATTATATTTTAAAAATTTTAAAATAATAAAATTATATATTTAAGATATGATTACAATTAAAAAATCATTTTAAATAACTTTTTATAACACCAACATTTATATATTTATATTGAAAGAAAAAAGATATTGGTAAAAAATTACTTTATTTAAACTTAAACAATATATATATATATATATATATATATATATATTAACTTTTTAAAATAATGAAATTATATATTTAAAATATAATTATAATTAAAAAACTATTTTGAATAGTTTTTGATAAAATGAATATTTATATACTTGTATTTAATTAAAAAAGATATGAGTAAAATATCATACAAAATTTGAAAACTATTGAACTTACAAAACAAATAAAAAATAGGTTTAATACCTTATTTTGTCCCTAGTTTCGTTCGAAAATGTCAAATTAGTCCATCTTTTTAAACATGCGTCACTTACGTCCTCACTTAATAAAATTTGCATCAATGAAATCCCTTCTGTTAAATCCGTACAAACGGCGTTAATTATTTTTCTCTCTCTTCTACTTTTTCTGCTTTTTCTGCTTTTTCTGCTTTTTCTGTGCAACGCACCAGCTTTTTTTCTCTCTTCTGCTATTCTTCTTCTCTCTCTTCTACCAAATTATTACAACCTTTAAAGTCACACTTTTTCTCATTCAGTAGCCATCACAACTTCTTCTTCTCATAACCCTCTGCAAGAAGGAAGATTCATATTGAGAACACTGTTATCTTTGTCTTCCTTCATCTTCTTCTTTATGCAAATCAAGGGTTATTTATTTATTCTTCATCTGATGGTTCTGACATACAAGTCAAGCAGTTCAAACAATTGATGCAATCATTGGTATTCAAACATATTGAGAACACTGTTATTTATTTATTTATTCTTCATCAAATGTTATTGCTATGTCAATTGCACCAAGGGACTCTCATGAAGCACAAGTTCAATTTGCTTTGGAAAGAGGTGTTCCAACAATCATTGATGTTCTTGGAACAATAATGCTTTCCTTCCCGTCCGGAGCTTTTGATATGGCACATTGTTCTCGCTGCTTGATTCAATGGGGTTCAAATGGTGAGTGTAACTATGACATTTCTACTCTTAAACAATTAAAATATATCTTTTAGATCAATAAAAAAGTTTCTTGGTGTCTCTTGCGTTGATGATTTCGTAAGTTATTATGTCCTTTATGGATGACAAACAATTTTTTATGATATATGCATATATACCAATAATGAAGCCTGATTCAGTTTTGTATTGATTGTAAATTAACAACTTAGAAGGTTGGCTTGTCAAGTGCTTTGATTTATTCTCCCGTGCTTAGACAACCTAAATTTATTTTGAGTACTTAAACTATGGCCCTGCTATTTCTTGTTAAGATGATGCTCAAAGTCCCATTTTTCTTATATCAGATCAATCTGTTTTTTAATTCACTTCGGTTCTTGGTTTATTATTAACTGTTTGATGTTGGGCTAACAAAATTATTACCTTGGCTTTTTGGTAGTAAGAAATATTTTTAAACTATATTTAATGGAGTTTTTTTCTTAGATGGAATATACATGAAGGAAGTGGACCGGGTTCTTAGACCTGGTGGTTACTGGGTATTGTCTGGTCCTCCTATCAACTGGAAAATGCAGTTTCGTGCGTGGCAGCGTCCTGAATATGAGCTTGAGGAGG